ACTAACTTCTATTACTTAACAGAACATATATATAACAAGCATCAGGATGAAATACATAGAGTTAAATCTACTGTAAAAGCCGAAGGGTAAACGCAGTAAGCGTCGAGAAAGGCTCAATAATAATAATAAGATTTAGAAAGTTACAATAATCATAAATATGGTAAAGTAATTAGCAAAATTAACTAATTACTTAATGTCATTCTATATACGGAACTTTTATATAGCTGGTATTAATTGTACATAATAAACGTGTTCGTTTTAGAGCAAAGCCACATTGAACTATCTGTTGTGTTCTCCTCGGTAAAACCAGTTCATTAAACCGGTTCATTAGTACTCTAAATAATTTTCAAAATAATTAAGTAATGTTGTTGGATTAAAGTAATTTTTGTATTTATAATGATATAAGAGAAACCTGGATTTGTCAAAAATGAACGTGAGTTTTCGAGCTCTTTCTAAGAATCGTTTTAACATTATGCAAATTATATTGTATCTAATAAGCGGTGAGTAGTAAATATTGTAACATAACCTGTTTGGAATATTCGTATTTAGAAATTGAAAGTTTATAACTCCAAAGAGTCCATTTTATTGAAAACTTTAATATGAATGTTTGATTAATAATGATGAAACCTAAACTCGGATACTGTGTTTTGATTTGAGTGAAAGATAATTCGTTTGGCGATATTAAGAAAACCTTGATAATTAGGTATAAGAATATCATCGATATGTCTACAAGATATCTACTGATATCCAAAGCTTTGCTATAGCATTTCTTTCTAATTAATGGAATATATGGAAATTCCAGTTCGAATAAAGACAAATCTGTAACGTGTGGACTTTCAATGGATTCCTTGTATTTGTTGAAAGGTATATTGGCTAAAGTCCACAAATGTGTTGTTAAGTAAGAAATAAGAAGCCTGTAAGAATTTACTTAATGTGAAATGCTGGTAGTTTTTATAAGTGACAAAGAGTCCTATGTTTACTGACGCAGAGAATTATAAAAAAGGCCTTGAAATTGTTGACGAGAGGTTATTTTTAATTTTATTAATAAGAATACTAGTCTAAAGATCACTAAAGTCAATGTTCCAATTGTTATAGTTTCAAACCTTTAATTCTTCATTTACATGCAATGGAATTATTGATGATAAAGAAAATATTCAAACCAGTTTCTCTTTGACATTATTAGAGTATATATCTAAATTTTCTTTAATATCTTTCAGATATCCACTATTACAACTGAGAAATCTTTGTCGAAGATTTTTTAGCCCCAGCAATCATCCTGTATCTATATGATGTTTTATATGATTGGTATTCGCAAGTACTTTAGATGTCACATTGTAACAAAATGTACATCATAGACTAATAAAACTTTTCCATGTTGTGAGGTAGGAAATTATATTTTTATATTATTAGGGTTGTATTCATTTAATATTTCCTTCTATCGTTTAGGTTATGAATGAATTTTTAATTGCTTTAAAACGCTAACTCACCTTCTACATAATCATTTGTATTTTGAGTAAATACTTGTGTGTATGATGAAACTGACACCAGCTTCCCTAGCGGTGATGTATAGATACTATTAATATAGCAGAAGAGTATGTAAATTTATGATCACATGTGGTTGTACTCTTAGAATAAATACCCTGCCTTCAGTAAGTGAGAGGTAGAGAGCTGTTTTTCACTCGATATTGTTAGAAAGGTATTGTTAAAATTATTGTATTTGCTGTATTTGTTTTTTGGAACTAGAATAGGTATTTTTTTTTCTTTCTGGTTCTTTTTCCTGATTCCATTGTTATTGGTTTATTAATATTTATGATAAATTGTTTATTAATATTGTTGTGAATTCCTGACCAGGCACTTGTTTATTAACTATTTTGAACTTACTTTTAAATATTGTTATTGTGAATAAATTGTTTTATGTTGTTGAACCCTGACTTTTGAGGCGTGTTCATTTTAGACCTTTGCGATGTATAATACTTTTCTCATCCGTTTTAATGTGTTTTATACGCCTCGTTACCCGAAGGTCTTAATATGTTTGGCTCAAACCCAGTTCTTTACATAAAGGTATAAAATAAAGCATTTTACACATGAAAACAAAGTTGCTAGCTGCTTAATGGGTAAGCAAGATGATATATCAATTACTCGGTAATCTCTTTCTTTCTCATAATCCCCTGCCTCCCAAGTGTGTAGGCTTATAACCTAAAATCTGGGTTTCGATATCCGTTGTGGCACAGCACAGATAACCCATTGTGTAACTTTGCTTTTAACAACAAATAAATAAACTTAACCATGAAATGTTTATTGCTGTTAATAGTGAATTTCTTTAAGTATGTTATGCGTTTTATGGATTACGTCTTTAACTTTATTATCCATTTCCTAAATAGGATTTTTTTTACTTCGTTTAAGTAAAACTTTATTGATTGACGCACTAATTACTTTCAATTAATTTTAATTCCTGAAATTTACAACCTTTAGGTATTTATCAAAGAAATACGAATTTGTATTCCTTAAAATAATATTCTTTTACTTATTCTTTGAAGAAATTTTAAACCACCTATTAATGAAATATATATATATAGGTTTGTGGAATGAATTAAATCTGATTTCTAAACGATTTTGAGCACTCTCATTTTGATCATTACTCTATTTGTGTATCTGAGCCGACCTAATGAGGCTCTGTGTTAAGAGAAATGCGTCGTCGGCTATAGACTTAATGTGCTTGAAATACTATTGTACCCACTTCTTACAAACAAAAACCGTGGGGAGCTAACTAAAGACTAATATTAGAAATTTAACAGGTCCGATATCAATATCTCAAGACAAGTATAATTAACTTTAATAATGTTTCGCTATCTCGAAAAAAAAAATAACATCATAAGAGTTTTTGTTCTAACAAATGGCTTATATAAATAGTGTTCCGATCATTACTGTTTTTATTCTAGTCCAGCTGCTTTGATGAGCTCTGTATTTAGCGAAATGTGTCTACGGAAATGGATGTGGCGAACATGGTTTGGTTAAAATACTATAATAGGAAACGAATAATTTGTTTGTTTGTTCTTAAGCAAAAATATAAACAATACTGTACCAACTACGGCTATTGAAACGCTTCTTTTAGATTTAAAAGTCCCCAAACTTACCGTTGAACTACAGGAAGTGACTAAATAAGGATTTTGCGTTACACATATAATAGGCTTAATAGTTGACTAAATAAGGATTTTGCGTTACACATATAGTAGACTTAATAGTTGAAAACAAAAACTAACTACACTGATTATAATCAATTTTACTTGTCATAAAACATTACTATGAAGCCTACTATATGTGTAACGAAAATCCTTATTTAGTCAAAAGTTATACGTACATTTAATTATGTGCCAGCATCGAGTTTAACACTTCAGACATGCGTAATTTATTTCCTTTTAACTCAAATCTAATAATATGCATCTTTTCAGTTATTAAAGCAACAGAATAAGTAATCATACACGCACTTGTTTTATAAAATTCTATTCTCAATGTAATAGTTGGTTGTCGAATAACTATTTGCGTTTACAGGACTATAATATCTGATAACTTAATATTATGGGACTGCACGTCAAGACATGTTGTAGAGAATAGTGGGTGTGTCATGTTCATTGTTCTGGTGTGGCAACCGAGCCACTTCTAATGATTATGTCAAAAGAGGGCATTGCTCTAGCATTCTTAATACTTTTAGACATGACAGTTCGCATAACAAATAGGCTAAATGAAAACCAGTTTGTTATGATAACACTAACATGCCAAATTATCAAATATCCCCAGTGTTAAAATTAAGAAACTCGTTCATTTTAGTCATATAAAACAAAATTATTGATTATTTAAGGATTTCTGGGTTTCCATTAAGCTCCTCTTCCTTACAAAATCATGTGAACTTTTTCACATCGGACAACCTAGATGTTTTATAACGGAAAACATAACCTGTTTTAGCAATAATTATTGGTTCATAAGTTTAGTAAGAATTATTTTCCTAGTTAGGAAAAAAACACTAAGGTTACTAAAGTTTTTCTACCGTTGTACAACAAATCGGTGATTTTTTTCCTGAATCGTAATTAAATTTATGTAAATAATAATAGTAATAATACTTAAAATGATAATACTTATAACAGCTCCAAAAGTAATTTCTCTTTGTTCTTAAGGGTTTTTATGGAAAAAAATTATAAAACCTAGATGAAATGTTAAAAAAAATGTAAAACTCGGAACCATTGCTTCATTCTGTTGAATTTAAATTGATCTTATCAGAACAGTACGAAAACTTGTGTTGCACCAGCTCAAGCAGTTGCTTACCCTCCCTTACCCGAAACTTTAAACTTTCGAATTAAAGGATCAAAATATAAGATGCGATCAGTTTGACAATTTATTCTAATTTTCAGATAGGAACGTTAAATATATTTCACTCGTGTTTTAATGTGTTACGAAGGAGCTTACATGCAGGGGTAATAGTATTCCCAAAGTTTAAGTAATTTGTACGTTTTGGTTCAATTTTTAAGACATATAACACCAAAGCTGGCAGATTATTATAGTTTTAGTATACTAAGAAAGAAAATATTTTAGCCCTATTAATGAGCCAGATAAATGTAAGTTATTAGAAAATAGCATTTTAAGACTTTTCTTATCAGAAAGTAAACAAATGCTTTCGTTAAGGTTATCCTAGTTACTAGGATAATGATTTATTTGTAGCTCATTTGTTTATTTTTAATATGGTGATAGATATTAATTACTAACGATGACGTACAGGATTGTAATATCTAAATAGTCGACAAGGAACCTTGAAGGACGTGTTTTCTTAATCTCATTATAATACATATTTTAATTTGTATATTTACAGAGTACGAGATTTGTAAGTTAACTTTAAAATACGTGGTTTAAAGATACAGTTTATTGGTGTATATCTTTTATAGAAGCTTTTTATTGATGATCAAATATAATTAAAATCTCACGAAGAAAATGATATTACACTTAACACTGATAAACATTCACGGTTGAATGTTTCGTTCCTCAGTGTTTCTTCCGTCTGTCATCAGATGTTTTCATCACAAAACCACACATCTTTTGTCAAGGTTTCCTTGTTGTTCATCTGAAATATATTATTTTAAAATTGTATCCGACAGAATATAACACGATATATTACCAAATACAACAGAAACTAGTGGGATAATGAATAAGTTTCTTGAAATAATGAATCACGTAAGTAAGTGAACGAATATCTTATAGTTGCATTAGCCACCCATTAGCTCACTGGTAAGTTTGAAGGCTTATAACGCTAAAAACATGGCTTCAATACCAGTTGTAGGTACACCACCCCTTCCACTAATGGTAAGTTAGGTTTTACCGAGTATCCTTGAAAACAAGATAAAATGTTTGAAACTGTTTTTTTTTTTCAGGCTGGTTATCTGTCCTTTATATGTAATATTATCAAAGTGGGGTGGAAGAGATTTTGAGTTATCTCCTGGAGTGTTATGAAGACGACATGTTATGATTAAAGTGTTGATCAGGGTAGGGTGGAAGAGATTTTGAGTTATCTCCTGGTGTGTTATGAAGACGACGTGTTATGATTAAAGTGTTGATCAGGGTAGGGTGGAAGAGATTTTGACTTATCTCCTGGAGTGTTATGAAGGCAACATGTTATGATTAAAGTGTTGATCAAGGTGGGGTGGATGAGATTTTGCTCAGTTTTGTAGTCACTACTGTTCAAGTTTAGACTTCTCCTCCTTCTCTCATCGTCGTTATTTAGATTGGTGTTAATGTTGGTTGATTCATTGTCGTTGATTTTTCATTCATTTGGGGGGGGGGGTAAAACATCATGTTAATATCGTCAAGTTTAACAGAAAAAGCAAAGTTCGGACCTTTTACTTCCAACATTGTATAACAGGCGAATGAAATATATTTTACAATAACATTTTATAACAATTTTAAAGAACATTATTATTTGTGATAAATACGTGTACTGTACACTAAAAGTAAACAAAATGAAATACAGACTTTTCAACGTACCATTTATAAGCAGTTAATAAAACTATGTCCCCCAGTGGCACAGCGGTATGTCTGCGGACCTACAACGTTAAAAACCGGGTTTCGATACCCTTGCTGGGCAGAGCACAGATAGCCCATTGTGTAGCTTTGTGCTTAATTACAAACAAACAAACAATGAAACTTTCTTATTTGTTTCCAAAAGCTACAGAATGGGTTATCTAAAGCTTTAAGTAATCTACCGGTTGTGTTAAACTTAATCAAAATCTGACAACACAAATATAAAGTATAATACATGACATACTGAACGTCATTAAAACACACTCAAACATTCCAACTTCTCTGAGATTCAACAATTAAAACCCTCATACTCGCCATTACCGGAATTTTGTGGTCTTTGAAGACACACACCCAATTTCTCTGTAAGACCTATTGTTTCAATTTGTGCATTCATCCACAAAGGATTCTTCATGATTATCGGGTAAAGTTTAAATAGCCTTTTGACTCTAGGACCTAGTTACTTAAATAGAACCCCAATTTTTTTTACAGAAGTTCACAAATACTCACGTAAACCTACGGACGGACAGCATTCTGTTGAGTGTTGATGGGGTTGCATACCTATTGAAGAAACAACAATAACTACCATCGAAGAAAATTCTAATACCATAGACATTCTGTGATTATCGACTGATTTAATAGAATCGGATATTTCATGTATCCTGTGTAACGGTTATTTGGAACTGATATTCACCAACAAATCCAGGGTATTAATAGGATTGTAGTAGTTGTTTTTGTTGTTTTCATTGACTTTATCCAAACAAAAACTATATCTGTCTGAAAACAGAAACTAATTTTGGTCCTGAATTCTGGTATCGCTACATAGATGACATATTTGATACTTGGAACCACGTGATGGAACACCTAATTGATCTACTTCAATAAGTCACATCCCAAATAGAATGTCACTCTTGAAATCTCAAACTATACGTCCACACTTGCCTTCCTGGACACTTTACTAATACTTAAATATGTTAAAATATTACCATCTCCACATAGAAAATCATAAAAATTCGATAACTTTACACTATGAGTCACACCATCCTGTAGCGAAGAGACTGATTATGGGTCAACTACTTAGAATACACAAAACGTGTTCAGACCCAAAAACACGGTATGGAAAAAAATCACTGGGCTTAGACAAAACGGCTACCCAAATACATACATAACACATACATTTTCGACGATTGGAAGAACGAACAAGAAAGATGCATTGAGGAAACATATCCTCGCTACATGGGTAATACCGTATATCAGTAATGCCTGGTTTTTGTATGATTCTAACTGGGAGATCAAAGTCATACTTAGTTTCTGTATGATTCTAACTGGGAGATCAAAGTCATACCCGATTTCTGTATGATTCTAACTTGGAGAACAAAGTCATACTTGGTTTCTGTATGATTCTAACCGGGAGACTGGACATTTTGATAGCCTTTGTCAGCTTATGACTTTGGTCTCCAAGTTAGAATCATATAGAAACCAGGTATGACTTTAAAACAATTTCTTACTTAATCAACTTTCATGCCCAATTCACAGGGTAACTCCTTAAATATGAGAACACAGTGTTTAACAAAGAATATCATGTACCAACCATCTATATTGGAGAAACTGGAAGGCCCTCCCATGACCTTATTATGTTTAATAGAGAATATCATGTACCCACAATCAATATTGGAGGACATGGAAGGCCCTTCCATGACCGTATTATGTTTAACAAAGAATATCATGTACCAACCATATTATATAGGAGAAACTGGGAGGCTCTTCCATGACCGTATTATGTTTAATAAAGAATATCATGTACCAACCATATTATATTGAAGAAATTGGAAGGCTCTTCCATGACCGTATTATGCTTAACAAAGAATATCATGTACCCACCATCAATATTGGAGAACCTGGGAGGCTTTTCCATGACCGTATTATGTTTAACAAAGAATATCACGTACCAACCATCTATATTGGAGAACCTGGGATGCTTTTCCATGACCGTATTAGTGAACTTATTCAGAACATAAATGAACCAGAGATGGAGACAAAAAAAGTGCAATGGCTTAACACTATACCTTAAATCATGGTATATCAAAGATGGATTGTACAATAACGTTTAAAATTCTAATAAGATCCGACCATTTCTTAGATCGGAAAAGTAAGGAATCGCTTCTTAAAGAAAAATATAAACTAATAACAAACAACGTAAATTTAACTAAATTTCTTGTGGATAATAACTTATTTACTTTGTTTAGTTTTGTTTAACTTCCCCGTTTAGGTTTTCTGTGTACTATGTAAGATATTGTTTTCTTATATAACAATTATACGTTTATATTATTTTGTTTACGTAAGTTCCACGTGCTTTGTAATAAAAGGAACAGACACTTACACGGTATTTTCTTGTGTTTAGTTTAATTCTTATACTATAACGGTCTTAATATGAGTGGTAGAGGTCATTGCAGGAATTGCATGCTTCTGATGAAGCCGAAATGTTGGGCAACTAAAACAACTTGTAATATTCTGTGAAGTTCATAATCTTTATTTATCTATAATTACGTGTACTTTATTCCATTCAGCATCAAGAAGATTCAAAAATTAAAAGATCTTCCTTAAAATGTTGTTTTTAATTTATGTCTTAGTGGTGTATAACCAGTTAAATAATGATGTATGAAATATAACCACTAAGCAAACATGAAGAGTGATCTAATAGATGTCTCACGCGATATGTTGCTTCAAGAAGTTCAATTATGTGTTCATTTTCTTATCTCTGTTGGAATTTTGGTTTGTTTTATATACTTGACACTTTACAATCCAAAAAAACATAGATTACTCGTTTATTATGCTTAAAAGGATGCCATATATTATTCCGATATAAAAACTTCCAACACTTTGAGCTTCATATACATAGGGTTTACTTTATAAATCAAAACTGTGTTTCATAGTGTCATATTTTACTTAACGAACTGAATTTTGAAAAGATTTATACACGAGGTATTATGATTTTATGATCAATGCACATTAAAATACAACTTATTAATAGATGTTATTTGTCTGCATGTAAATAAAGTTTTGTATTTCGCTTCTTCCATTACTCTCACTATAAATATATAAACATTTTCTGCCATTTTCATTTTTAATTATTCTTACCTTACGTATTAATCCTTAGATGTTCTTCACTTAATAATCGTTCATATCAAACTATACGCTGTTCTCTACTTTTGAACTTACACCAGCTTCTGTTGTTCGCCTGAGCAGTGTGACCTTTTCAACTATAAACAGAGAACAAAATTAGTGGTTTTCACGTTTAATTAATTAATATTTTTAAAAGCAGCATCAGTTAATGAGGACCAATTGCTCCATGATATTTTTAAGTGTGTTTTTCTTATCGCAATATTCAGTTATTCCACTTTAAGAAATGTTTAACACATGAGTCTTGAGATAAATGACTTGTTAATCAAATACAAATTAAGTAATAATTAACTAATTTTACGTAGTTAAAAAATGAGAGTCGAACTACATTACTGTTATTAGAAAAGGAACTGATAACATACGTAAAATTTAAAAATACAAATGGCAATTGTCTAAACAATTAACATATAATAGACAAAATATTATCATGAATCACTATAATTAAACATGTGTGGTTTAAAATCCAAAATGGACCTACCTACAGGCACAGTTTCCCTTAGTACAGTTGTTGTTCTTGTCTGAGAAGTAGAACGTAGAGAAAGTTCCCTAGAAAATACAGTTTTCTGTCTTGGATTAATCATACTATACTATAAATCCAACTTGCCTTTCCACTATATGCAAAACACTAAATAGCAGTGACTTTTGGATGACTTTTACTCATTCTACTGCAACGATTAGATAAGGGTTTAAACAGTGTGATATATTTATATGATCAATATAAAATCCCTCAGTTTCGTCCTATAAATTACTATAATGTATTTATTTAACATAGTTCAAACTTTTTATGCTAACAGATAAAACTCCATAGACTATTTAACACGATTAATCTCAGTGTAAAATATTTCTTTATTAGATGTGTAGTTAAACAATATATTTATTTTATCGGTAATATTTTATTTTTTAGAATAAATATGTGTGTGTGTGTGTTTAAATATATGTAAGAATGTACCTTTTAATTAAACATTTTAATTTCATAAGTATAATTATATATATATAATGTAGTTGTAGTGTATATATATATATATTTGTTTGGTTTTTATTTACCTCAATACTGAGAATCATAAAATCTGATTACACCAGTAGAACCTCCGAAGGAAGAGGGGAAAGGGGGAGAGCAGAGCCTTCGCTCACGCTGTTCTTCATCACATACTGAAATTTCTGGTTCGAAACTTAAAATTGAAAAGTTTTTTTTGTTGACAAATAAGCTGCTTCAGATTAAATTTACTTAAAGTCGGCTGGATTTTTATTACTACCAAGGCTCATTTTCTCAAAATTCTACGTCACAGCTACGAAAACCCGATGTAAGGAATAACGAAGATAAAAAATGATGTTACAATAAAAGCTTCAGTCACAAACTCGAGATCAGAATCGACGTGTTTTACGATATACTTTTCAATTATAATAACAAAATATACTTGTACCATGAATTTCCCCAACAAGACATTTCTGCTTTATATTAAACGATGAACACATTGCGAAAACTGAGACAAAAAAAAATAAAATTCGTCTACAGGAGAATATGAGGCGCCATATTAAATAGTGTCAAGTTTGGTCTAGCATTTTTTGTTTTTTGTCCAAATATTATACTCAGCTCCTTTAGATAAATAAATGAAAATACATGAAATACAACCGTAGTAAAATTGCAGTTAATATTGCTCACGAAAATAAGGCAAGCATATACAGTTTTTCATGCAATTCAATAAAAATAGAAACTGATGTTAAAGTCTAAAAATCTCTCATATGCTCATACTTATATATATAGAATAATTAACCAATATTAAATAAATATTATAGTTGTAAGTGTTTCAAATAATTAAAATACACGCACAGCTTCTAGACACCTAAATTACGTCTATTGGACTGACATTGAAAATATCAATAGCAACACGAATTCAATAGGCCTAATATTTGTGATAAAATAATTGAAATTATATATATATATATGTATATATACATTCTTGTTAATTTGTCCATTTCGCACTCCTATCCAAAGGTATCAAAATTATGCATAAATAGTGTTTCATATAAATGTTTGTCTTTTAACATTCAAGGCGAGTACAGCCCAGTGGGAAAGAGGGGGGGGGGCGTGCTGTGCTGTTAATACGACGTACCATGGTTGAGATTAATTAAAAAATTCGCATTTCCCACTTTGAGGTTGTCGTTGCATTATAAAAGTGACGGCCATATTCAACTTTCGATTAGAGTGGCCCAAGAGTTGGCAGTAGCTGGTGTTTACTGGCTGCCTTTCTTCTACAGTAGCTGGTGTTTACTGGCTGCCTTTCTTCTAGTCTATCACTTCAAACTTAGAGAATGCTTCAGTAGATAGTTCACGAGTAGCTTTCTACAAGATTAAACAAAACTCATCTTTCAGCTCATCTTACGACTTCTGGCATGGAAAGATGGCAGTGACTTACGACAAAAGATAGATATAAAGTAATATAATTACATACGTCTGGTTTAGAATCCGAAATGAACAAATGAACAAAAAAATGTAATAAAAATATCTTTAATTTAGCCTATTTTAACACAAGTATTAGACCCCCTTAGATGTTAATGTTTTGTGAGCTTTCAATGTCTACGCCATATTTTAGTGTATTGTTTGTTTGTTTTTGTTTAGTTATACATTTACATTAATTTTAAGAATCAGTAATGAAT